GTCGGTCAGTCGGTCAGTCGGTCAGTCGGTCAGTCGGTCAGTCGGTCAGGCAGGCAGGCAGGCAGTCAGTCACATTTCCTGGCCAAGAGCCTTCCGTACAGATTGTTGGGGACCACAATTTGTGTTCATTCTTCAAGTCTTGGCGAGTTCCGTCTCTGGACTTCTTGTTTGTTTCATCCTGGCCGTCTGGAATGTGCTTGTTTCGACCTGACACCTCATCAGGTGGTCTCCAAGCATGAGGCCTCTGAGCAGGATGGGCATTGGATTGGGGAAGCCCCTGGGGAAGTGTCCCAAGAGTGGCGGGAGCTTCGCTTGGCCAAGACGTCAACCCGGTCACGGCCCGGGTCCGCGGAAGGGACTGGGCAGAGTGTGGTGAAGGTGAGCCTTTGCGAAGGAGCACTTCTGGTTGTGTGAGTCTCTTGTTTCGTGGATGTGTTTTAGAAGAATAGGGAGACCTGCCTGTCTGGATGAATGGGTTCCAGTCTATTTTTGTCTTGCCGGAGGTCTTTGGAGTGTCTCCCTATGCTCATACACACCCAAGTAGACTTTCGGTTTAAAATGCCTGGACACTCCCTGAAACCCTCCACAGCAGCACAGCAGGAAGCATAGCTAGCTGGCTAGCAGGAAGCATGAGCCTCACCCAAGAAGTGAAACTTTTTCGCTCCTCGAGGAGCGCCACCTCAGCAGGTTCCTTATTGCATGGCCTTGGCGTACACCAAGAGTCTGTGTGCTGCTGCCTTGACCGGTGCCCACGTGCAAGAAGCGCTGCCCTTGGACGCCATCCCTTCCCAGCGTGCCTTAGTGATCGGTTTGGGGGCTGGCTCCATCCCACTCTGGTTGGAACACACTTTCCCAGCTGAGAAGATGCGGGTGGATGCTTTGGAGATTGATCCCGCCGTGGTGAAGGTGGCGACGGAGGAGATGGGCTTCCCCAAAGAAGCAGTACGACCCTCCAAGACGGCACAAGAAGCAGGGAAAGATGCAGTCTCCAACACTGAAGCCCTGCGAGTCTACCTGGTCCCAGGCGAGTCGACCCCCTCAAGTGTTTGTCAAACACGGTGCCTGAAATCACGAACGCCCTGTGCACTCCCTAGGGCCTAGGGCCTAGGCGACGAACTTGGGGCCAAAGATGTTCTTGACTTAAGATTTCCTTTTGGATTCGACAAGCCGTTGAGGTGAAGACTTTGTGGAAGCTTTAGCATCCCAGAGTGACGCCTACAAGTATCGGATTTGACATGCTTAACGCAAAGGTGTGGGTCAAGGGTCAACGCCCGAAGCTATGGCAGGCTAGCGGACATCCCCTACGTGAAGCAAGTGGTTTTTCTCACTTTCAGTGTGAACCTGCGAACCACTTGCAGTTATTCCTTGACCCACCACCAGCTGCTTTCATTCCTTCCAGCTGTTTGTTGTCTAAATCTCATGGTGTGACGGTGTGACAGAAACGAGAAAAAGACTGGCAAGGGATTGACAGCTTGTTTGTGTTGGTGTGACTCACATTGACAAGGGATTGAATGTTTGGCAACTTGTCTGTGTGACATGTTCCTCAAAAGAGTTCCCCTTTTGAATCCTTTTTGATTTCTCCCAGTCTCACTTTTGCTCGATGTCAGGTATGATATGGTCTTCATTGATGCCTTTGATAAGGCTGGTAAGGTGCCACCCGTTCTCGTGGATGGCGAAGGTACCTTCTTGCAAAGCTTGAGCCAGGCCGGAGACGGGTCTGACTCAGTGGGACCGAAGCAGGAAGACGAAAGAAGCGAAACCAGACCCCCTTCACTCCGCAAGACAAAACACCGTCCAGGACAAGGTGAAAGACATTTCCATGTGTCTTTTGATGCAAAGGTCAAAGGTCAAAGAGATTCCCTTTTTTGAGGAGCATCGTTTTTCAGGTTCGATCCATCATATTCTACAATCTATGGCACCCATTTGCATCTCTGAGTCTTATAAGCCCTAGGCTCTCTCAGACGACAGAGTTGCACGGTTTGAAGGAAGAGACACATGAAGCTGGACCCTTGTGATTCCAGCTTCATGGGGGCTTTTTGGTCCATGTCCGCCGATGCCTGTGCAAAGCGAGCCGATGGGAAAAAGGAGTTGTCCGTCTCCCTCCCCGTCGGATGGTCTGTCAACGAGGAAGAGCTTCCGAAGTCATTTCGTATATTATATATATAGACACATATATATATATATGGGTACAGAGATGAAATCATATCTTTTTGGCCTGGTTGCTTCACTGCGGCCGAAGAAGCCTGTTTGACACCAGCTATTGTGATGGGTGCCCGAAGACCTGGCCAAAGAGGTTTGAGGTTTGGTGTCGTCACGAAGGGAACAGGCAGATACTTGGCCAGGGCCACCCACCCGCGCACACGATCGCCGCTTGAGGTCCTTGCTCCCAAGGCAACGGTGGTGTTGAATCTCTTGGTTGGCATGACGGGCACTGGCAGTTGTGGAGGCCCTCAAGAGATTGAGGCCATGGTGACGTCCATTCAAAAGAGTCTTGGTCACGCACGTGTGACGTGGTATGCTGGGACGACCATCGCCCATGTCTCATGCTGACAGTGTTTCCCTTGAAAGAACTTGGAGTCGAGAGGAGTGCTGGAGCTCTCAAATAAGCAAACAATATTGGACCTTTCTGAACTTCCTTTTCTTTATTCTTTGTTTCTAATAGCAATGGCCTCCAAGAAGTGATGGCCTCCAACCTAGAAGCGGTGGCCTCCAACCTAGATGGATGATGAACTTGCAAGATTCATGGAAACGCAGCTTCCGTCAAACTTGCCTTTTTCGCCCGCACATTCGACGATGTGACGATCTCCTTGGGTCGCAGTAAGGACGTGCTGCAATGCTTCCTCCGAGATCTTCACCATCCGGACCCCAATTAGTGAAAGCAGTGGTAATCAGCTGTACGGATTTCTACGTGCAGGGCGTTCTGACCGGTCGAAGCCCTTGAAAGAAGCTCTCAAAGAAAGTGCTGAGATGGTCAATGCCGACTTCCCGAAAGATTCGTCTGGATCTAAGTCTTGGGGAGAGTAGGTGCACTCACTGCTCTTGGGGCATCCTTGTTGTGCTGAACCACGTGATTTTTGACACGGCATACCAGAAGGGTCCGACCGATACGACGTCAAGGCAATCCAAGGTATCGCAGGCTTTAAGAAGTTAATTCACCAGCACCCCATGCTCATGCAACAAAGGATACTAAGTGGGGTGGTCAGCTATATTAAGTCTTTCTGTATTCGTATTGGCCGCTGACTCAATCCAGAATTCCAGGTCCACGGAAGAGGTCCAAGTCCTGCTTTGTGAAAACAAGAATGTGTCGGTGTTGCCTGCTTGACCAGTCTGGGCTGTTGATCTCAGGCTGGGACAGAAGATTCGCTTTGATTTGGCTCGAAGGGTGGTCTTCAGCTATCAAGACTGGCCGAAGAAGAATTGAGCACCGCGAGTTGACAGAGTTCAGGTCGTGAATGTTGGCTAAAGCCTTCAGTTTTGCAGGATTTTTTGCGTTTGAGCCGGCTGGTGGCCCGGCGCATGGTTTTCAGCTCCATGAGTGGAACCAAAAGAGGCCTGGCGCCTCCCGCGTTTCGGCGAGGCCTCCACGCTCCGGTCGGGTGACCGGTCCCACGCCAGGGCGAGCCACGCGGCGGGGGCGAGCCAAGCCCCACCAGGCCGGGTGGTCGAAGGTGACAGGGGAATGGCCGAGAAAAGAAGGTTCACCGTCTAAAGATGTTTAAGATCTTGAAGCCTGCAGCGTTTGCCTCGAACAAAAGAAAACTCAAGCGTGCAATTGTAAGTTGCAAGGCGATGGCCCTTTTTCACACTGGGCTTGATTGAACACACCGTGTTGTACACGGCTTGCGCCGTGCGTAGGGGGCGGCGCCCCGTGTCGTCCACTTCAAGCGCTGGTGGACACCCCGCCCTGGGACGGAAAACGGGGCCTGTCACGGCCTGTCACGGCCATCCGGAGTCTCTAATGGCCGAGGAGTGGATCCACAAGAAGAGCTTCAACGGAAGGCCCATCCCTGTTGCACCGGCCCAATGGTGGTGGAAAAGGATTTTGCCGGGTGCGGGGGATTGCAGGGGTCTTTTTTGAAACTTTGGGCCGACCAACACCCACCCAGAGGTCCAGATGACAAGTACTCATCTATCCACATGGTAGTGTAGTGGTGGAATATGAATATAACAGGTGGGGTCGAATGATTGGAAGTTCTGGGTTCAATGGGCTCAATCTTTCACAGCTTAGGACTTTTGATCACTCAAGTCGGGCCCCTGAAGAGGCCATCGAGTCACTCGAGATCCGCTCGGCTTCTGACTGTGTGTCGTTTTCTGGTTATCTTTCTTGCTTGACAACCGGATCTTGCTTGACAACTGGATCTTCCTGGGTCCAATTTCTTTGAGCCATACACACAGCACCCTCCCTCCTCGAATGTTTCCTTCTTTGAAAGCTGCAAGGTGACCAATCATGACTCCCCACGGAATTGCGTAGCCGACCATGTCGCGGTGATGGATGACAGCCGCTTGGCATATAGAAAGAGGGCTCAAAGGACAGCGAGAGTAGCGCGAGAGCGAGAGAGCGCGAGAAAGAATGAGAGAAAGAGAGAAAGAGAGAAAGAGAGAGAGAGAGAGGCAGAGGGGGCAGAGCGCGAAAGATGGAAAACACTTTTGCATGGGCTCTTTGAGGTTGGGTCACGTGATTTGCTCGTAACCGCCCTTTGAATGACAGGAACAGAATAAAGGACCCGACTGAGCCACCCCGGCTCAGGTGCGGATTCAGCGATTGTTTGGCCCGGGATGCCGAAAGAAGAGGAGTGTTTCAGTGTTTCGGTGTCTCGTTGCGGAGTCACCACGTGAGTCTAAGGAGGATAAAATAAGATTTCGAGCTGTGAACGGGCGCAAGCTCGACTTCCTATAACACCTGCACTCCATCCTAGTGAGTCGGAGAGCAACTTTATTTGCAGAGGTCAACGCGGTTGGGCTTGAACTCAGACGGCGCATGACAGGTATGTCGGGACCTTCGTTGCAGCATGCATGCAATGTGCCCAAGAAGCCTCTCTTGCAGAAACGAAGCACAGGTCACAAGTCTCCATCAATCATCAGGCCTCTAGATGTCTCCAGCTCTTCATCTCCGACCCAAACTCCTCAAAACGACGGTTTCTTCGCGGCATCGGCATCGTCCTACGGTCGAGGAGCGCCTAGAGCCAGAGCCAAGAGAACAGCCCAGCGAGCAGCCCAGCGCGGGCAGGAGACGGGCCCTTCAGAGCACCTTGTGTGGAAATGGCACACGGATCTGACTCGCGTCTGACTTGCCCTGCCAAAGGGTTTGTTGCAAAAGGGAGAATGTCTCATGAAGCCGCGCTGGGTCTATTTTTGAGCTAGAATGGTAGGTGGCAAAGAGATCAAAGGCGAGAGGAGAAAGGAGAGAGGAGAGAAGCATCATTGCGGGGATGCACTGTATGCAATGTTAGTTTTAAAAGTGCTTTGCTTTGAAGCTGCGAAGGAGTTTCGATGCAAATCCTTTTGACAGCCTTTCTTTTAGAAGCCTTCAAAACTGGCACGTCCTATGAAATGTATTGCGCGCGATGATGAGTTTGTCTTGCGCATTCGTGGATCTGTGGCATGGAGGGGTTTGGGAGACCAAGAGAATCGAGACATAATGAGAAGATGAGAATGGGCACCGACTATTAGACCGTCCAAGTGGCATTGTGCTTTTGCCGTGTTGTTCATTCATGGGTCTATGGCGTGTATGCGTGCAGAAACAAGTTCCGTCTATGATAGATACGGGTGTGCTTGACGGGAAGTACAGACAAGAGAACAAGAAACGAGACATGCAGAGGTGTTCCGATGGTTGCTGTATTGCTGAGCAATGTGCTTTCCTTCTCTCCCTTTGAGAAGGCCTTTGGCTTCCCCCAAGATGAGTGTGCAAAGGAGTTTTGAGTCCCCCCACTTGGAGGGTCTCTCTGGACTATGCAACCCCTCCCTCATTTTTAACGTATGCGTGTGCAGCATATGTGCAAATGGAAGAAGGAACTCAAGCTGCGGAGGGCCCACAAGCGGCCAACCACCGCAGCCAGGGAACCAACTCCTGCGGTCCTGCGGATGTGTCTGACGCTTTGCCCGTGTGTGACCAGGACCCCCCCTGACAAAGCGGAGTCCATGGAGCTTGAGTCACTTCCGGTGGAGGCACGCCATGGCCTGCACGCTTTTTGAGCCAATCTGTGAACAAGTCTGCCCACAGGTGCCGGTGCAAACTCCGCCGGCAGCAGGTGCCTTCGGTGTCCGTCCGATTTTTTTCACGAGCAAGACACTTTCCTCCCACTCCGAAGGAGTCTTCTAGCGAGTGGCCTCTTTCTTGTGGCTGGGTTTGTGGCATTTGATCGGATAAACACTCACAGAATCAGAAGACATCCGTTCTTACATGTGCGTTTCGAAGAAAAACCATGGAACTGCAAGTGGTTGGTTGATTCTAAACTCTGACTAGCTTGTCTCCAATACATGGAGTTTTGAATTGACTTTCATCCTCTTTCATCAATTTTGGACATCACTTCAACCTTTCCAATGAGTAGACTGAGTAGACTCTTGATGTTTTACAATCCACATCATTACGACCGCAGTTGCCTCAGTGGCGCCTGCACCTGCGCAGCCTGCGCCTGAGCACGCTGCCCGGATTCCCACGCCGCACGTGCTCCTGCAGAACGAGGCGACCGGGTGGCGTGAGCTTGAGGTGCATCGGTAGGGACAAGGGCATCGCTACTAGTAGTAACAATAAGAAGCTATTAGAATTTAATTAGAAGCTTCTTGTTACTACTAGTAAGGTCCTTGCTCCTAGTAGCGATGCACTTGTTCCTAGTAGCACCTGGGGACACGGCCCGGCCTGAAAATGGACCAATCGACGAACAGCTGCAGCGGTTGGGGAAGTTGGTCTCAATATTCTAGTTCAAGTGACTCAAGTGTCCTCAAGTGTGCGTATGTGCGGTTCTGGACCTCCGGAGTTACTGACTTGGCGGGTTCATGCCACTGGAAGTTACTGTAGCATTGCAGGATGCTTTTCAAGTGGTTTTAGTACAGCCACACTTTGGTTTCACAAGTTCGACATCGACGTCCTCAATCCACTGGCCCTTTGAAGATCGAAACATGTTGAAACATCGGTCAGGAAGTTCTTCTGTCTGGCTCGACCTCTTTCTACGTCCACGAACGGATGCGCCTGATGACATTCTTCACGGTCACCCTGAGGGTGTTTGGTGGACCTCCAGATGTCCCAAAAGCTCGGAGGGGGAGCTGTGCAAGAATGGACTCCGTGAGGTTCCGTGAAGAGCGGATTGGAACGACACGAGACTTTGAAAGACGTTGTTTTTCTTCATGTTCTTTTCTGGTTCCCAGACTTCTTTGGCCCGACCGGGGGCTGGACCAGCCTAGTCCACTGAGCCAGCTGCGAACGCGGCGACCTCTCGTCCAGGCAGGTTCGCTGGTCGTGCCGCAGACCTGGAGATTCGCCCGGGTCCTGGTGGACCGGTGGACACCGTGATGGAGTTGTTGGGACCCGGCCTGCCCAATAGTGATGTTGAGGGATGCTGGCTTGGTATTTTCAAGTGATTCTGATTGGGAGGGCGGCCACGCCAATGGTTGCTGATTGGACATAGAGGATTTTGGCAAACTCGCGATAGAGATATAGAGCTCGTTGGAACTCGCGATCGAGCTCATTGACTGGTCATTTGCAGCCTGGAATCAACATGAAAGGCTTCCGCCCAACCACGCCTTCGCCCCCCGCCTTCGCCTCCGTCGTGCCCACGTCCGTTGGGAGGTCTTGCCGCCTCCCGAACAAGCGCCGAAGCCCGCCTATGAGAAGCCCCGAGAGGCGGAGAACGGGGTATGATGGGAAAGAGGCTGCCAGTAACAAGGGCATTACTACTAGTAACAAGCTACTAGTAACAAGGGCATCGCTACATATCGCTACTAGGAGCAAGGACGCTACTGGTAGCTCCTGGCATCACCA